AGAGGAACCTGATTGTTTCACAAATTATCTGTCTCATGTTCTACTGTCAGGATATAGTGAAAGTTTCAGTAAATATGACTAAAAGTTATTTTTATAAAAGTTCCCTACTGCAGCTTTAATAATAATAAAAAATAATTGTTATCTGGAGTTCTATAATATCATGAGAGGTGAAACTGATTTTAGATGGGCCCTGCTGCACTAGGCACTTTCTGAATGACACCCATCAGTAGTGTGTCTTTTAGATATCTCTAGACCCTCAAGGGTGTCTATTTTCTCTGTGGCTACTATACAGGGAGGTTGGAGGTCTGTAGAGGGACTTCCCGCCCATGAAGCCATCTTGACCCAAAACCTTCAGTGAGGCAGCCTTTACTTTTTACAATCCCAGTGCTAGAGCAGCCTGCCCGAGCATCTGAGAGCAGCTTTCAAAGTGTTTATTTTTTTTAACTCAAAACCCCACTCCACCCTGGTTTTTAACTAAGGAATGGTTTTTAGACATTAACATTTTTGACTCAATTATCTTATTTTCTTTTGTAAATTTCATTGTTCATGTTTTATTTGTTTGTGACTCCGGCCTCCTTTCGATTTTTGAATCTACCTTATTTCATTTTACTCCATTCTGTCTCATTATCGTCTTGTCAATCGTCTGTAAAGCACATTGAACTGTATAAAAGGTGCTATACCAATACAGTTTGATAGATCTTGTCAAACAAAACGGCCTCTGCTCTTTCCCACAAGAAAGACAATTTGTGAAATAGTTTTAAACTCACATGAAGTCATCACACATGAACTGAAAAGCCGCCTCAGCATCCTGGGAAGTGTTTAAATTCACCTTAATGCAGTGCTAGCTCAGGAAGCACCCCCTCTAACGGACAGAGCTGGCATGACTCAGCTTCAGCAGGAACAGCTCCCTAGGAAGAGGTTAATCCACTCATAGCATTTTAATGACATCCACACCAGCGCACCATACTAATCACATTTGTCTCCACATTTCACGAAAAGCTGGCAGCCGGTGTGCAGCTGATGGGGCCGCTGCAGCCCGGCTTCTGGCCGCACAGCGTCCTGGAGCTCCAGGAAGAGCAAACTCACGCATCTCGGGAGGAATATGTCAGCCCCAAATAGGCTGCAAAATCTCTCACTCCGGAGCCAAGAACGTCACAACTCCGACAGTGGCGTTCATCAGAGAAAAGCACACAGCTCCGTGATGCATTACAGCGGCAATAAGCAGCTTTAAAACCGCTTCAACCAAAGGAGTTCCTCATCCTCCATGGTATCAGTCATCTAACGGCGGACCGGTCCCTCATCATACGCCGGCCCGGTTCCGCTCAGGTGCTGAACACACGTATGAACTTCATGACGTAAAGTGTGACATTTTTAACATGCGAGGTAAAAGTTAGCTAAAAGATAAGCGGGAAAACGCCTTTTTAAAAGAAAAGCAGCCAAGTTAAAAGTTGAGCGGTAGGCGCTGGTGGATGCAGATACTGCACTTCGACTCACCTTGAGCGGCCGTTCCTCGGGTGCTGAATACACTTGCTATCAAAGTGGCCACATACCAAATCATAGTACTATTGCCGGCCAGAAATAAACCTCATCATATCTCAAAGTGCCCCTTTCGGTGAATCTCTCATCGCCGAGTGGCCCAGGACAAACTGAAGCGGGCCGGTATTCCTGTTTTCTTGTTAACCGAGCCCTGGACACTTTTCCATCGGCGCTTTCCCCTCTCTCTTCCCCTCTCCTCCGCTCTCCTCTCGCATCCTGAGACGGATCACCTGCACCAATGGGACGAGAGCAGACGACGCGGTGAAACCAAGCGCGAGCTTTTAGAGAACCGCGGTCCCGCCTCCGCACTCGCTTCATTGATGGGCGTGGGACGAGCGGGCCCGCTGATTTGTTACCTGCGGTGTCGCTTTTCCAGCTGCAATGTTGTGTTCAGGAGATGTGGGAATACTCGGAGGTTTCAGTGTTCGGGTCGAAGAAGCGAGCTCCGTGCTCACGGCGGATAGAAAGAGAGCCTGCTCTTTCATTATTGGCTTTTTTCGACTATAACGCACTTACATTTACAATTATAGCTGTAATGTCATGATATTTATGCATAATTTTGATTTTACATTTTAACATTTTCGATACAATATTTTCATAGTGGAGTTAGAAGCAAAAACATTAGGCCTAAAGCAAGTCGTGAGACGAAAATAGGTAGATTAAAACCATAAAATAAGAAGGGAAAAATATTAACATTAGCCTACATTGTGGTAGGTAGACACTTTTAAAAGTTTTTTAACCAAAAGGGATTAGGTATGACTGAAATGACTATTACAAAGAGAAGATGCCCCATCAAGTTCATCACTTATACTAGACTACAGAAAGGCCTACACAATATAGGCTATCCGTCCCAACCACAGATGGTATAAATCCAACAGGTGGTTACACTGTATAATAGCCTAAATATGATAAAACTCACTCCTGTTTGATTGAATGACAGTAATACTGCCAAATGTTGATTGTAGGTGTTTATACAATTTTGCATGAATCTGTGGAAGTGGGATCTAGGGGCAAAACTGCAAGTTTCTAACTTCTGTGTTTAAAAGAGTTTCTAATTTTTCCGTTTTTCATTTGAGCATTGAATGCAGCACCAGAGGGAACCGTTTCAAGGTGGGTTGGAGTGTAAAGCCGTAGCGGAGCTGCGGTATCATCCTGCGCAATTAGACGAGAGGAATCCTCTAGTCTTCACGCACTGCTATCCATACATTCAAAGATATGAAATATGAGGAGGATGAAGGAATGAGTGATGGGGAGGTTGCTATAGTAAAAAATACCTGAAGACCTCCAACACTGACTAAAACAATTTCCAATACTTAATTCCAATAACAAATAACTTGTCTGAGTTCAGCCTGATTCATCTTCATTGATACAGTGAGTCAAGGACAGATTCAAATTCAACTGACTCAGTCTGCCTTGCTCATAGAGCAATTCTCCTCCACCTCCAAGTCTAAGGGCCCCCCACCCCCCACTGCTCCTTCAGGAGGAGGCTCCAGTGACAGGCTCTAGCAGGATGACAAATAAATTCGTTGGGAGTAATTTGAGGTCATTTGGTTTTACGTGTGCTGGTGTTGTTCTCATTTGCTCTTCTAGTTCCCAGCTTACAGACAATAATTTGTTTCATCCACATAGTTTTTCCCACATAAAATCAATCAAATTTGACTACAGAGAAGCTTATGGCTTATGATCTCTTCTTTAAATATGAACCTCAATCAGTAACACGTTCCGGCTGACGTCTTCTACTGTTCAACTTCATACATAGGGTAAATAAATCATTCAAAACTGGCCTAATGATGACAAATGTGGCAGATGATACAACTTGTTTTGCAACCTCAGTCATCTGTTTTCATCTTCTCAGCAACTGAAGATATATTGGGACTGCTTTTTTTTTTTTTTAAACCTGTCTGTTCTTCTCTAAAGCCCTGTCCAGTCTTCTGTTTTTAGTTTTGTTATTTTTAATGTCCCAATTTCACTGAAGAGAAACTCAACAGATTTTGCATCACACTGTAAAACCTGACAACACATCTTAATGAAGTTAGCATAAATGAATCCTCCCAAAATATTTTAGTCACTCATTCACATGAATTCAACCCAACTATAATGACAAAAATGTAAGCATTATAAATTTTCAACTTTCAGTTGATTAATCATCATAAGCCCATATATGCACATAATTCTTAATGATTCCCCAAAGTGTAAAGATTTTCTGTTAGCCACATGAAAAAAAACGAAAAAGAACCGGCTACCATTTTGATAATCAATGAATTCTAAACTGTTTTTATCGTACATCAGCTGTTTTGACACATAATGTAATAATTTGCTTTAGTGTCACTTACACATTGGCCCACTTCACAAACCTAGCTCTTTCCACTATATGTACTGCAGACTAAATATCTCTTCAACTATTAGATGGATTGATCTCAGGATGAAATCACTTTCTGATGATGCCCTCACTTTGTATTGCCATCATCAAATCCAAATTTCTGCTATCAGCATGTTAGCGTTGTCATTGTGAACATGCTGGTGTTAGCATTCAGCTCAAAGCGCTGCACTGTTCATGTACAGACTCACAGAGCCGCTAGCATGGCTGTAGACTCTTAGTCTGACTTTATAGTCTCAACATGACGATGCATCATGTACTCAATTTGTCAATTAGCAGAGTCTATATTATTTAGCAAAATAGTCTTAGAGTTCCCCTCCGCTCAAAAATCAGTGTTTGTTTCTGTTCCTACAGTGTGATGTTTGAATGCTGTCTGTGCAGAGTTTGACACTAGAAGGATGTTTTCACATTCATCTGCTGAAAGTGGAAAGTCTTCTCTGTGCTCATTGAAAATCTGATTTTAAGGGGCGGGCCTACCAGCAGGATCTGTGACATCACAATTAGTTAGGAAGTCAGTCCTGGCCAGTATGCAAACTTGTACAGTGTGATGTAAAACTTGAAGCCACCAGTGTACATCCACTGAGAATGGACTTTACAGTGAAGTAGGAGACATCTTGTGCCAGCAGCAACACTTAAGAACATGAACAACATTTGTGTATTCAGAGATTCTGGAAGTTTTAATGAGGTAGAAGGAGGAGATGTTTTTTTCAGGATTTTAATGTAGAAATTATATTTTTTTGCGGAATAAATATATCAGACACACATTATTGTTCCAGGCAGACTATTAGTATATGTCTTAATACATGTTTGGAAGGGATCTTTAAAGATATAAAAATGTACAAGTAGACTTTGACTGGATTCTCCTGGTCCAAACTTCAGTACTTTTATTGTGTAAACCCATGTGGGGAACTTGAGAGGGATTCTTATTTATCCTCTTTTCTTTTGAGTGATGGCGATGTTAATATGAAGTAGCATTTTGAGGCAAACATCCAGGTACAAAATATCTCCTCTCCCTCTCCGTCACACTCTGCCTGTCTTTCCTGGAGCTACCTTGATCTCCATCTCTCCTCTATCTCACAGCGCCTGCGAGGCCTCAGTCGCTCGCATTCTACGAGACGCAGGCAGGAGTGTGTGACACGTCAAGCCCCAGTATGTCAGCATCTCTGACAGAGACGTCACTGGCAACAGATGCAGCTGGAGGCTCAACAGCCACCGCGGCCAGTGTGGCGATGGAGCACAGCCATGTCCCACAGCTAACTGTCACAGCGAACAGTGTGCTTTAAAAGAGCCGTGTGAAGTGCAAATAGTATATTCAAATGAAGCTTTCATGATGTTCTGTGATCTGCTGTGCCACACTGGGCTCCGCTCGGGCTTTTGTTCCTCCCGGCTGATTAATAAGCCAGGTGTGACTCGTTAACAGTTGGTTGTGGCTACTGACGGTGAAACACAGGTGCTAATAATGAAGCTCAACTGGTGTCATAAGCCTGTAACTTGTACGTCCCCAGTCTCAGAAGAACATGTTGGTTTGAGGAGAAAACTGTGGTAAATAACACTTTAAGCACGTTAAGCTAGCAGACCACCTTTGGTGAGGATGGCCGTACCCATCAATGAGGTCACAAGGTATGGACTTGGGATGAGCTAGTACACCATTATCTGTATTTGTTCAACCAACTAAATTATCTGTATTCGCTTCTATACTCGGAATGGGCTTAAATCTGAAGTAGGGGGTGCTTAAACCTGAAATTGGCAGAGCTAACAAAATGTTGTTAATTTAAGCCTGAAATTGATATGGGTTGATCAGAAGATGTTATATTTCTAAGAAAAATATTTACAGAATTTAGCTATGTATTCTTTCTAAAAGTTGCTATACTGGTATTTGCAAGTACTCTGCTCAACCTTTTTCCGAGGGGTATACGATAAAAGTTATTTTAATAATTGCCTTTAACATAGCTACTTTTGATGCAACTTCTCAAATGTAAATACTATCCAGTTTCAGTGTTACTATTTGTTCCTATCTTCTGGCATTTTATAGACCAAATGATTAAGCAATAATAGTAAATCGATAATATATCCATTCTTGGATTTCCTGCCACACTTTTTTCACTATTGTACAAAACCAGAAGGAGTGCATAAAGGAATCGTGATAGCCACACTCCACACATTGATCAGAGGAACCTGGATAAAATTAAACTGTAACACTACCTCCACTTGTGTTGGCTTCTTTAAAGTAAAGATCTTTATTCCATTTATCATACAACCTTTCCAGTGAGTAATGTTTGAATTGTTTCTTCAGCAGCATGTTGTATATTCTACCAATTAGTTGTTTCTTTTTTCCTTCTTTAAATAGAGCGTCCTCAAATGGTCCTAGCATTGAATCATAGTGTAAATCAAAATTTTTTAGCAGGAGATTTGTGATTTGTCAGTGTACATTTACATTGAAGTTGTGTAAATGATCAAATCCCATTATCTATAATTATATCTGATAAATGTTAAATTCCCCTTGCACTCCAAGTGCCCCAGTTAAGCTCCACATTTTAGTTTTATTGCTGGGTTATTCCAGATGTGATCTGTGTGTTTCTCCAATCAATAATATAATCCATAATGAAAAAAATGTTCTGCTGCCCTAGTGGACATTATAGTGCTGTCAAATTACTCCAAAATACTGTTAAAACAGGAGTATTCTCATCTTTTGAAAAAATAAATGATATATGCTGATTGTAAGACATCATTACCATTTCAAAGCAGCCTCAAAAAGGCCCTTCTATAATACACGCAAAATGACAGTTACACATAACCCAATTTGAACAATACATGTTTGATAAAAGTTATACTTCTAAACAAGTTTT